AAAAAATGGAAACAAAGTTTCTGTAAGTAGGGAAGGATGGAAGGGGTGAAGGGAGGGCAGGGAAATGGGGAAAAAATAAGAACTAAGATACACCTTGTAAAGATACATGATCCCAATGAGGAATGTAACTGTATTTTATACTTACAATGTACCAATAAACTTAATGAAAAAAAAACCCCAAAAAACTAGAGCTTAGATTAATGATGAAAACTATGACTGCCTCACATAGGAAAGAAATGGAATCCATGAAACCAATTCAAACAGACATCCAGGAGATTAAAAATTCCATTGCAGGGCCAGGGATTTAGCTCAGTGGTTTCGCCGCCTGCTATGCAACGGCAAAGACCCGAGTTCGATCCCTGGTACCAAAAAAAAAATTCCATTGCAAGTATATCCAACAGATAGAACAGAGGCAGACAGATACTAGAAGAGAGGAATACAGTTAACAACCATGAAAAGAAAGATACCTTAAAAATGGCAAGGGACCGTGAAAAATCAATCCAACAGCTGCAACATGGTACAAAGAAAAAAGAATATAACATTGATCAGTCAATGAGAAAGCTGGAGATACTGCAAATCCCATTAAAAGCCTGTTCAAAGAAGTAATGGCAGAAAATTTCCCAAGCATAGAAAAAGAATTTGACACATAAATAAGTGAGGCATATAGAACTCCACTGAGCCATTTCCAAAATCAATCTATATCAAGGCATATAATTACCAAGATCCAAGAAATTCAGCAACAAAGAATAGACTATTAAAGATGTTAGAGAAAGAAAACAAATCACCTATAAAGGAAAGCCCATCAGAATCACAGCAGGCTTCTCAATGCAAACCCTTAAGTAAAGGAGAGCTTGAAGTAAAGTATTTCAGTTTCTGAAAGAAAACAACCTCCAACCCATATTGATATACCCTGCAAAACTATCTTTCAAATTGAATGGAGATATAAGATACTTCCATGTCAAAGAACAACTGAAGAAATTCATAACCACTAAACCAAACCAGCTCTACAAAAGGCCCTGAAGGATATTTTAGAAAGAGATAATGAAGACCACAATTCCAAGAACACCAATAGAAAGAACCCATCAGGCACTGCAAGCAATTAAACAAATTGAAAAGACAGATAACCAACAACAGGAAAATAATAAAACAAGGATAAGCCAATACATTTCAGTTATAACCATCAGTGTAAATGGTGTCAACTCACTAATCAAAAGAAACAGACTGGCAGAATGGATCAAGAAATATGATTCAATAATTTGCTGCATACAAGAAAAAATTTAATTTAAAAACAAATTCACAGACTGATAATCAAGGGATGGAAAACAATATCCGATCCAACAGGAACCTGGAAAAAAGCAGGGGCAGCTATTCTATTTGCAGACAAAGTGGGTTTTAAGCCAAGACTGATTAAGAGAGACAAAGAAGGTCACTACATCCTTGTAAAGGGCACAATCCAAGATGAAGAGATGACAATCATAAATATATATGCACCAAATACCAGTGGACCCAACTATGTAAAATAAATATTAACAGACATGAAAAATCAAATAAGCATTAATACAATTGTAATAGGGGACCTCAATACCACACTGTCACAAATAGATCAATTAGACAAAAAACTCAACAAAGAAAGATCAGAACTGAACCAAACCTGTGAACACATAGACATAGTGGATTTCTACAGAGTGTTCCACCCCACAACATCAGAACACACATTCTTCTCTGATGCATACGAGTCGTTCTCCAAAACAGACCACATATTAGCTCATAGAACATGCTTAAGTAAATACAAAGGAATTGAAATTATCCTATGATTATCTGCCCATAGTGCAATGAAATTGGAAATCAATGGCAAAAGAGCACAAAAACGCCATAAACGCATGGAAATTAAATAACACCCTCCTGAGCAACCAATGAGTCACTGATGATATTAAAGAAATTAAACAGTATATACAATTAAATGATAATGCCAATACAACATACCAGAACCTACAGGATGCAATTAAATATACAGCAATGAAATCTTACATCAGGAAAACAGAAACAGCTAAAATAAACAACCTAATGTTGAACCTCAAACGTCTAGAAAAAGAGGAACAACTCAAGCCCAAAGCTTGTACGAGGGAAGATATTATAAAGATCAGAGCAGAAATTAATGCAATGGAAACTAAAAAAAAAAATGCAAAGAATCAATGAATTGAAGAATTGATTCTTTGAAAGATTAAATAAAATTGATAAACCCTTAGCCAATCTTATCAAAAAAGGAAAGAAAAGACTCAAATTCATGCAATTAGGATTGAAAAGGGTGAAATCACAAGAGACCCTGCAGAAATCCAGAGAAGTAGTGTCATTAGCTCTTCTCTAAATTTTGTATAGAATTCAGCAGTGAAACCTTCAGGACCTGGATCTTTCTTTGTTTGCAGGTTTTTAATTACATTTTCAATTTCACTGACTGATACTGAAGTGTAAAGAGTTGCCAAACATAACTTGGAATGAATAATTACTAATGGCAATCTGTCTATGAACTGTAAAATATGTTGTTTTTGTGTTCTGTGTAGACCCCGTCTGTGTTAACCTGTCCCTGTTTTAAAAATACTGGGTAAACTTTCCCCAGGCTGTTCCCGGAGAGATAAGAAAATAGCCTTGAGATTGTTTATGTAAGCCCCCAACCTTAAAGCCATAAAAAGTCCCTTGCTGTTTTGACCGCTACTTGAACTCTTTACTCTGTAAAAGGTATATAAAGGAGAAATTATTTTAACTCAGGGTCAGTCTATAAGGACTCATTTCCTGAGACTGGCCATTGCCTGGCAACAAACTTCTTTCTTATTTTACCCAACTCTCCTGGTCTCTGTAAGATCATTTCGACTCCCAGATTTGCCACAATATTGGGTTGTGTAGAATTTTTATATCTTCATGATTCAGCTTTGGTAATTTATATGTATAGGAATCTGTCCATGTCTTCTGTGTTTTCCATCTTATTAGAGTACAGGTTCTCAAAGTCGGTATTGATGATAAAATGAGTTGAGAGACAGATTAGCAATTGAAAATATATTGTTTTAAGATCATGATGCACAGTGTATTTACCACTACTATTCTCTAATTATTTTTCTTATGAAAAATTATTTTTTCACAGAATTGTTTTTATACTTTAATAATATCTAATTGCATTACATTAAAATAAAAAGTGAAAAAACAAATTTAAAAGATCCCCACTCTGTTTTATGCATTAGGAAATCGGAAGTAGTATGAAGAGGCCACCCAGACCCAGCTGTCACAAGCCTCCATTCTCACTACATTTCTATCAACAACAACAGTAAAGTTAAGCTCTGCTTCTAGGGTACAGTCTGGATCATGGTGAGTTCCCCAGTTCAGGTGTCTGTGCAAGGCCCCGCCCACTTACCTTGATGGCTCCGACTACGGCTGTGGTGAGGGGCGAGTTGTAGTGACTGCACAGAACCGTGGCGAACATCAGCAGATACCTGGATGAGGACACAGACACTGAGTGTGAGGCTTCCAGCCCAGTGGTCAGGACAGCTGTGAGCATCAGCTGGTGGCCCCCACAAAGTACTTTAAGCAAAGTTAAGCAAACTTCATAAAGGCTGTATGACCCACACCTTTGGACACCTTGGTAATGGAGTTATTACAGGATGCCTCAGCCAGACCTGCTGAGGGTCCTTCCTGTTTTCTGTTTCCCATTACTGTTTCCATGAAATGGGGGTAAGGAGAAGGAAGTTTTTGCAATGACCTGAAATCTTTCACTTCACAGTTGTGTTATAACAGCATGTTTAACCTCTCTGTGCATCAGAATCACCTATTGCACTTTAACACACAATGGTGTCCAGAGAGGTTCCCAATCCATGGGTGTGAGGTAGACCAGCCAGGCAAGATTGAAAAGCTCACAGGAGATTTCCACACGTGCAGCCAGAGCGGCTGAGGACACAGGTGTTAGGAGGGAAACTGAGCTCAGCACTGGCCAGCTTTGGGTAAAAGAAATGGAAATGAGTGGGTTTCACCTGTTAATGATACCCTTGTACCCTATTACCAAAGTTAATTCAGGCATTTAACACTGACAGTAAACACAGACACTAGCCTGCCAATAAAATGACTCTAGAACTGTGATGAAGCAGCAGACAAGAAACTATGTACACAGGAAAAGAATGCAGAATCCAGTCAGAAGTAGGGAAGAGAGTTGATTCTTATCCAGTACTGAGGGAAATTAACCATAACCTAAATGGGTTTGAAAACCCCACGCATCCAAATCAGATAATTAAATGTCAAAAGAGGTGACAGTCACACCAGGCTGAGAGTTATACAAGCTAAGTCCCAAGTAGAAGGCATGAATGTGGATCCGCACTGCCACAGCACAGCGAACTTGACCCTAGGGAGAGGTTGGTGCACCTGGGACCCAGGCTGCTCTTCCTGCCATATTCCAACCTGAGTCTCAGGTGCAAGGAACAAACCTCCCACTGTCACCAACAGAATGACATTCACAGATCAGCACTGCAGCCTCTGCTGGCCCGAGTATGTTTACTACCAGGGATAGCAGAGGGAAAAAGACACAAAGCACATCAAGCTTTTCATTCTGTTGAGGAGTAAACTTAATTATGAATTTAAATTCTATAAGCTTTGGAATAATGTATGCATTTGTTATTTAGGTAATTAAAACAATTTGGCAAGTTCATGCAACTTTGAGGTTTTAATTTGAAATGTGTAATTGATATGAGACTTGAATTTTAATTTGAAAGAACTAAGAGAGTCTGAGTAGGCGTGTCCACAATATTTTAATGTGTTCACAAAAAGCTGCCCTGATGAGCTGGAGGTGTAGCTCAATGTTAGAGCACTTCCCCAGCATGCATAAGGCCCTGGGTTCAATCCCCAAACCACAAGGAAAAAAAACTAATTGATTACATTTTCAAGTTTGGTTTATTAGATTTCAAAAGGCTGCTTAAGTGTGTGATCTACTAGCTTTGCTCGTCAGCCTCAGGGGTTGGAATAGCTCAGGAAAAATCATGCAGATCACAACTGTAAGTGCAGTTTAAATCTGTTTGGTGCAATAGGCTGTGAATGGAACTAATTTATGGTAAAACAGTTTAAGATTTTAATCAGTTAACTTGAGTTAACAAGCCATGCATCATATCATAAAAGTCAATGTCTTTATTTTTATGGAAACATTACGAGGTTTGTAAATAGAATACTAATATTTAGAAATTGAACTTGGAGGCTTAAGAAAAATCTAAGTTTTCTAATTGTTTTGATTTTAATAAACTGGCTGTTAATGTAAAGAGCCATAAATAATCCTACTCATGCATAAAAAAAGAAAAGATTAAAACACTCAATCTGATCTCATTGGATGCCAACCCTGCTGGGCCTTGGGTTTCAGAGCGCTGAAGATCCACACCCTCTGCTGTGGAGACATTCAGGGTGCAGTGAAATCAGAGCCCACGGTGGCTCAAGCTGGTGGCTCCCCACAGCCTTCGGAAACCTGAGGGCAGCCTTCAACCAAGGGCAGTGATATCTATTCTTTATTTTTGCTTAAGAATCCCAAGCCTAGGGTTGTAGTCATGCAACACTGGAAATCACCTGCGTCTTCATGGAATCACCTCGCTTGTATTCAGAATCAGTAGAGATGGATCTACGACCCCAGGATTCACCTCTCAGGAGGGTGACGAGGACATTCATTCCCTCATCAGCTGCTCTGAGGCAGAGGAGGAAAAGGACCTCTCTCTCCCCAACTTTCCGCAGTGCCTGAAAGGCTGGACAACTTTCCCCAGTGCCTGAAAGGCTGGACAGACACCATGCACTTCTCCATGTGTCCACTAGATGTCCCCAGTGAGAGCGAATAGAAATCACTAGGATCAGAATACATTAAAATGATTTTTAAAGAAACAGAATCTATTTCTAGATTCCACTATTTTTTGGGGGTACCAGGAATCGAACTCCCGTCGTTCTGCTTGCGAGGCAAGAGGCGGAACCACTGAGCTAAATCCCCGGCCCTCAGAATCTGCTTCTACTTGCAAATAAGTAACATATGGTGCATTGGATAAGACTAAGACTTTGAAATAAGAGCACCTTCACTAACTCCATGCTAGGGAAACCACATCACTTTCAACACCAAAGACGTCCACCACCTCATGTCAGCAGCTACAGATTAATAAAATGCAAAGATATTATCAACCTTTGCTGACGTCTTAGTAACTATTTTGCCATTAGGTATTTTAAAATAATTATTCCAACTGTGTACATTCGAAAAATTATAGCACATATATTTCATGCACAACAGACAACAGAATCAAACTGAGTATGTAGTTTATGGGGGTTCCAGTGTGGAGATCCCTAGTTGGAAACTCAAGAACCAAAATCCCACTCAAAAGCTTCCTCCTGTTTCTAAAAATAGTACAAAAAATTACCAATTTGCCAAGGTTATGTGGCATGATCATGGCAAACACAATTCAAATGACCTAGTTTACCACTTGTTTCCCTTACCACTGTACACACCAGCACATATGAAAATTTAACACAATGTTCAAATAACAAGAGGCCACTTATACAGTCCTTCCACTCCCCATAATAGTTCTTGGCTCCTAACTCCTTCCCCAAGGCTGTGAAAAGAAGAATTCTCTTCCCCAAGATAGGCTACATACTCTAATCTTTCCCCCCTTTCTGTCTTGGAATTGGCCATAACAAAATCTCTGACCTATTTGGTCTGGTACCAGATCATAAGACCCATTTCAGAAGGACCCTACCCCAGATCCAGGAGGAAGGAACTCTGCCCAGAGAGGCCACAAAGAATCTGAGCAGATGGCCTGTATAGGTCTCCCCACCCCTCCACCAGTAGCAGCTCTCACCCTTTCATCCAGTCACATTTCTCTATGACTTTCCAGGATTCACTCACATCTACGAAATGAGGCCACCATTCAGACCCAAACGACAGGGCTTAGAGAGCTTCAGGACATCCGAATACATGAAGGGTAACAGAAGGTAGACAAGAAGTGACTCAACCACAGGCCAGAAGGGGGTCAGAGCCCAGCTCCACTGGGATGAGAGTCCCTATGCTGGGGGCCCTTCCAGATTACAGCCCAGATATCTCTGCATCTGGCTGCATATTTGTCACCTTAAAATATCCTTCACAATAAGCCCATAAGGGCATACAGTGTCCTTAAGTCCTGTAAGCCACTCAAGCAAATTACTCAAAACCGAGGAGGGGGTCATGAGACCCCAATGTTTTGTTGGTTGATCAGAAGTGGTCTGAATTTAGGGGCTGAACCCTCAACCTATGGGATCTGATATTAGCTCCAGGTGGACTGTGTCAGAACTGAATTGAATTAGCATGTTTTTTTAATGTTTTATGCTTTGTTTTGCGTTTGGTACTGGAGATTGAACCCAGGGCCTTGACACTGAGCTATATACCTGCCCTTTATTTTTTTTACTTTGAGACTTAGTTGCTCACTAAGTTGCTCAGGCTGGGCTTGAACTTGGGATCCTCCTGCTCCAGCTTCCCAGTTGTGGAATTACAGGCCTATACCACTGCACCCGGCTCTTCATACCTTTTAAGGTCACAGCAGTGATCTCTGTTGTGAAGCTATAATAGGACAAACTGAATCCAAGTTTCTTTTTTTTTTTCTATTCAGGAACCAAGCACATTATTCTCTTATAGGTCCAGATTTTAAAGAATTTCAAGGAACCCCAGCTTCCCCACCTGTGGGAAGAACTTTCTCCAATCCCAGGACTCTGTGCTGTGCCAGAGATGCACAAGCTCACGGGATAGACATGGTGCATCTTTTGAAGCATCGATTTTCCACTAAGGTCTGCCCTGTTGAGAGCGATGCAACTGCTCACACCCTTGACAGATTCTGTTGCTCAAGGTGTCAGCAAAATCGTTTTTCCTGCATCTGTATCTTCAGAGATATAAGTTGAAAATTCATAAATGGAGCATTTTTTTGTGCTGTAAGTAGGGAAATTGCTATCTTCATGTTGGAATCAAGGAATCTATTACTGCTTCTGTACGATTGAAGGACCTGCTGCTCTGGCAGAAACAGAACAGAGTATCCCTCCTGGGACCCAGGGCTGGTGCATGCTGCTGGAAAGAATGAATTGGAACTGGTAATTACTCAGCAAGATTAGAAAAGACCTGCAGACCTAGATTTTTTAAAAATCTAGTTTCTTAACCTGAATTGCGGTCTATATCTTACTTTTGAAGCACTATATTATCTCAGCCCCTATAATGGCATTTACCCTCTTGAAGATCTGCACTCCATGGCTATGTGGTGCTTACAAACCCCTGATCACACAGGGAACCATTTCCACATGCTGAGTCCTTTCCATAAGTCTTAAGAAAATTGAATAGCCACCCTTTCACCGTGCCATTGGCTTCTTAACATGCTTTGGTAAAGTGTGATAATTTTTTAATTATATTTTAACTTAGAATAGCAGTTGTTTGAAATGCAGACTTAAAGCAGTGAAATTTACTAAGAGCTGAGTCTGGCTCCTCTGGTGTCCTGCACTGGGGCCACTGAGCTCCACCGAACAACATCAGAAAAGGGGACAACCCAAGCCCAGGGCCACTTGTCCTGAAATACAAAGACACACTCAGAAGCTCAGGACAGCTCTACTGCAAAGGGCTGAGAATGGTTGGGATCAGTCATTGTGTCCTTTTACTCCAAATTTGCAGGAAAGCAGAATTCTGAAAACTCTACCATGCTCTAAACTGAAGCTTGTTCCAGAGCTGCTTTAGAATTAAAAACTGATCCAAGAAGGTAAAGTATATAGGAGAGAAGAAAAACTGTTGAAGCCCTGGGCTATATAGGTCAGGCCAAATCTTCCAGGGGTGACAGAGGATCACCAGGCTAACTAGGGTGCCTCAGGAAACAGAAATATTAACAACATTTCTTATTGAGCATTTTCTATGTATTTAGCACATCCTAATCTCTTTTTAGTATTAAATCTTTCAATCCATATAACTCGACCCTAAGAATCAGGTACCTTAGCTCATTTATCCCATTTTAAAGATAAAAAGGAAAACCTAAAGGTAAACAGGCAGCGAGCTTCTATCCGACCCTAGGCCATCTGATCCCAGAGTTTGGGTCCTGAACAGCCAGAACAACACTAGGATTTCAGTGCCCTCATGAAAACCACTTAAGGCCTAACATTTACCTTGATTTCATCCTCAGAGCGGTACAAAAGCTAAAGTGTAATGATTTCATCATGTCCACTGATTTCTTCATAATTACTATACCTTTATGACAAAACAAATGCTGATAATAAATCAATATTTTTTACCAAGGGAGTATTTGTTTTCTAAGATGTACATTAAGTGAAAAAAAACACCTCACTCTTGTATAGAGATGGGGTAGCCCCTGACTGACTTGGGGCTCACAGCCATGGCACTGCAACATCACTCACCGAGGCTGTAAGGAAATGGGGCAGATAGACAGGCAGGGAAAAGGTAAGGGTAAGGCCTCAATACAGTTTCTGGCAAATCCTGACTTGAAAGAGTTAAAACCCTTGCTATAGGGAGCAAGAGGAGAAGCAGCAGGGCTCTGCCAGGCACCTGGGCCCAGCTAAAGTTAGGTGCCCCTCCCCACAGTAGAGCAAAGTACAAAGGAGACAAAGAGGGAGGAGGACTATATAACAGAAAACTCACTTAGTATAAAAAATATATACCTACATCTATAGAGACACACAAACCCACACACCTATCTTATTATTCTTTCACTATGTGGCTGCACTAAATGTATAGCACCCCCTTTACTTAACTGCTAACTGGACCTTGTGTGTAAAGTCCTTTTTAATAAACCCATAAATTCTAAAGATAAGATCCTGACAGACAAAGAAGACCTCACCTAGGAATTTGCACATAGAGGATAAAGGGTCCTAGGGTCTGAAATAGTCAATCAGCTCATAACAAACTCCAAGGGGTAGAGTCTTTTGCCACACTAATAAAAGAGACTGAGGATGAAGGTCCTCATGTATCTGGATCCAAATCCTCTGCCTTCTCACAAGGTAGCTGTCTGACCTCTGTTTTCTTCCTTCTTTCAAATAAAGTGTTTTTGTTCTTCCTTCTAAACTTGCATTTCTAATTCTTTATTGATATAAATTTATGATTCTCACTTAGCTGCAGTGTTTACTGCAGGTTCCCATGTAACAAGGCTGCTGATTTTAGAGGGTTTGCTTATCGATTTCCTTCACACAATGATTAAATAGGAAAGTGCAAGGAAAACAATATCAGCACCTTATCACATTATCATGACATGAGAAAAGACTGAAGCACTGCTTAGCCAGGGAAGGGAGCTGATCTGAGTTTTCATGGTATGGGGTGTTTTTCGTAATGGGAGGGGCTGGACAAAGTGACTCACAATTATGGCTCAGATTTTTTCAAGGTTAAATGTTCTCAATCAACAATGGGAAGATTAAATATTTCACTAAACTCATGCTTCCAACAATGGCTAACTACCCTAAGGGACCCAGCCACTGAATGACACATGCCTGGAAAGGACACATTATTTGAGATGTTGTTGTCTTGAAAGAAACACAAGAAGCCACTCTCTTCTCCACTGTAAAGCAGAGGATCAGAAGAGGGTAAGGTTGCCACAGGGAGGGGACACTGGGGGGCAGCACTATTCAGAACCTGAGCTTTGGACCAAACTCCATCTGGGGAGGGACACGAACCAGACCCTCAACAAGACCTGATGTAGGCCAGGTCTAACGCAATACCTGCTGACAAGCAGAAGCAAAAACACTCTGTCCCTGCAGGGAAGTTTCTCAAATCCCCAAGTTTAGACCATGGGATTGATTAACATTAAACAATATGCTAACAATCACAGGTCACCAAACCCACAAGAAACCCAACCACAATGGCAGTCAGCTGAATCAACAAATCCCATACTTCTGGAATCATCAGATACAGAAATCTAGAATAGTTATACATGTAACAATTAAAAAATTAAAAAGTACAGTCACAAAGTACAGAAAGAATGTTGGGAATGAAGAAGTATGAGGGAAAAAACTGTGTGACTCTTATAGATGAAATATAAAATAGTTAAATCTCCAATAACAGAATAAACACTAAATCAGACAGCTAAAGGGAGAATTAATGAGGGAAAGATATACATGAATGCTCTTAGTGCATGTGACTACAACACTGCAGTTACTATCAAGTTTGAAAAAGAGCGTTGATCAAAGAAACCATGAGTTGTCTTAGTTCAATTAAACAGTGAAAATTGTAGTCTTTGTGGTAAAAATTAAAAATAAGGGACATATTCACCTTTCTCACAGGAAAAACATGTTTTGAGGAGTAATCCCAAGAGACAGTGATCCAAAGACCCTTTCCATGTGCATAAATACCAGTGCGGCCCAGCTCAGGAGGGATATCTCCAAGACTTCCAACAACAGCAGGTGTCCCCTAGGGGGAAAAACTGTAGTGCTACAAAGAGGGAAGAAGGGAGGTGGCTGGTGTTCCCTGCTTATGAATTACTAACTAGTTGCATGTATCATCTATTCATGCAAAGGAATTTTCAATTTTCAGAAGATTAAAAAGGACACATGGCCTCTCAACAGGAAAATACCCTTAAAGAAGATTTCAACAATAAAAACCTAATTGTCAGACAATAGCCTGGACATCCGTCCTCAGACCATCTGCCTGTGTGTCACAGGTACAGCACTCCAGGAAAAGGTTGTCATTGCTGTATATTTATGTGAGAATCTTGGAAAATTAATGACATGGTGAAAATACTATGCGGGAGAGGAGCACTGACTTCATTTCAGACAAACCTTCAGGAACCAAAGGCAGTGTCATATTTTGCAGTGGAATGTGACATTAGTGCTTGCTCCTGGCCTTTCAGGCTGTGCTCCCTGATGTCCTGGGTCCCAGGTAACCCCCTGCTGCAGGAGGACAGTGTCCCTCTCATCTCCCCAGGGCACTGGCTCCACACCCCCATGGATACCCAAGTCTGCAGTTGCTCAAGTTCCTTATATAAAATTGTATAGGATTTGCATGTAACCTACCCCATCCACCTGCCTGTGGACTTTAAATCATCTCTAGGTTTTCTAGAAGACTTAAGACAATGCGAATGCTTCATAGACAATTGTGCTGAATTGTTTGGGGCAGTGGTGGTGAAATACAGCATGTATGCTGCAGTGTGCTATTTGTTATTACTGAACGCTCTAAAAGGTCTGCCATCATTAATTCCGGGGATCATGACAAGAGAGAGATCCATACATGCTCATTACAGGCATAATTTGTTTTCAAGTATTTTCTATTCACATTTGGTTGAATCTGCAAATGTAGAGCCCCATGGAGAATAATGTAATTTCCAGAGGAAAAAACAAAGGGATTTGACAGAGCAAAACGGACAGACAACATATTTAGATTTGATTTATCAGGAGATACTATGGACTAACATTTCTATTTTCTATGGTTTCTTACCCCAAAAAACAGGAAAGAAGAAACTGTATGATAAATAGGACATTCTTCCACTGGTTAAATTCAGTTGCCTATTATTAAAAAGACAAAAAACTAACGATTAGATAAATGACATTTTGCTTTGACTGTGTTTTGCTGCAGGAACCACCTTCCTTAACAGAAGATCCAATTTTAAAAATCCTAGACCAGAGATTGGTCAAATTATTTTCCCTCCCTGAACCTCAGCTTCATCTTAGAAAATGGGGATTATTAAAAACAACAACAATAACAACTTCCTTAAAAGGTTGATGTGAGGACTAAATGAAATTCAACATCATTGGTGGCCAATATAAAATGACAGCTATTGTTGCTGAAGGTACTATTTACCTTAAAAATATTTGGTAATTTGTAATGATGAAATCAGGATTTGAATTATTTTTATAAATAATCTTTGAAAAGAGTTTATTACCAAATTAACAATATTAGCAAGAAACGTTCAAGTTCATAAACTGTTTTCAAGAACTTGCATCATGGAAAATAAACTATAAAGTACTACAAAACAATCAAGTAATTAAGGGAGAAAAGATGGTAGACAGAGAAGTTTAAGGTTCAGTTTCTGCTTCCTAGGAACTTAATTCCTTACTGAGAAAGTAAACTTAATCCTTTTGAAATGGCAGGAAACAATGAAAACAAGTATTTTTCATGTGTCCCATGCCTGTCTCCAAAAACAATTTCAGGATGACTCAATAACATGATTGGGATCTAGGGATGGTGGTGTACACCTATAATCCCAACACTCAGAAGGCTGAGCAAGAGGAATGCCGCAAGTACAAGGCCAGCCTGAACAATATAGTGAGACCTTGTGTCAAACAACAACAACAAAAAAGAATCAAAGTTCTGTTCAAGTTTACCAACTCTATATATTTAGAACTATTTACATCATTTTAGGTTTATAATTCAAATTTTTAAATAATTGAAATGGAATTTTCTACTTAGTAGAGCGTTGTCACATTTTGGTGACATTGATCCATTAATAATATTTTGCCTATTTCTATCAAAATGATATACATTAAAGGTTGATGACTGTTGAAACTGGTTGAATGACACATGGGTTGTGCTATTCTCTATGCTTTTGTATATGATTCAAAGCTTCTATCATAAAATAAATTTTTTTACATGCTTACTTCTGGGGCTGGGCTAAACTCATGTTTAGCACACAGACACATACATACATGCACAAACACGCACACACACAATGCTTACTTATAAAAGAAAAAAATCATAATTTTAAATGTTTTACAGGGAAGCCCAAAGCCGATTGAGGGAGGTGAAAATATCCAAGAGAATTAAAGCCAAAATAATGATGCCAAAAGCAGTAAAAGACCAAAAGAACACAAAATAATAATACACAAAATAATAAAATTATGGAAAACACTCATCTGAAGTTAAAATAATATTCAAAAAGAAAAGAAAAAATAAGCCCCAAACTTCAAACTAAAGGTAAAAACAACATTTTCTCAAAGAGCTACAAGTATTTATGCAAACAGTAAATACCAACTATGTACTCCTGATACTACAAAAAACACTGAGGGTGGGCCAGGGATTTAGCTCAGTGGTTCTGCTGCCTGCCTCAAAAGCACAAGGACCTGAGTTCAATGCCCGGTACCAAAAAAAACACAAACAAACCACTGAGGGTTATTTAGCAATTTTCATTAAAATATGAAGATTCTTCTCCAACCTAAGTTTTTATAGATTTTGGTTTATATTATGTCTAATAATAATAAGGTTACGCAGGTGGCAGTTTTGGAAATAATACAGCAGGACATTTATTTTAAAACAGGAAGTAATTAAAGATTAATAACAAACAGGGCCGGGGATTTAGCTCAGTGGTTCTGCCACCTGCCTCATAAGCACAAGATCCCAAGTTCAATTCCTGGTACAAAAAAAAAAAGATTAATAACAATAAAGTACTTCTAGACTTACTATTTCTCTCAAAGTATGTGGAAATCTGAATCTTTTTCATTTTGCACTTTGGGTTTGTTTTTCAACCAAGAAAAAACAAAGCCCTATTTTTTTTAAATTATCAGCTATGAAACACCAGATGGACTTTGGACCTTTTCAGAGAATCATGTAACTAAACCAAGTTCACTTCAGACTATTTTCCAAGGGCCTGATTTGATAACAAAAGGAGCCGTCGTCTCTGACTTTGTTGAACAGAGGTAGAATCAAAGTCCTGTTAACAGATCTAGCAACTGTGTAAATCCAGAGTCAGGATGGACTTCGCACAGGAGTGGGTCACACATACAAGTCACTGTGGTCTCTAGTCCAGTCCCTCTCTCTCACACCCAGGCACCAGTCAGCCAGAGAAAAGGATGCATTCAACTTCTTCCACAAGCAAAAGGAGTCAGCATCTTGCTCCAGTTCACCAATCATAGTTCAGAACAACAAAACCAATCTTGGCAAACAAGATGTGACTTTGCATCCATGAAGTCACTTCTTTATGCTGTATTTGGTGCAAAATCTAAAATGGAATCACCAGCATAAAGAGCGACCAAAGTATATTATATGCATTGAAACTGCACCCCCCAATGTGAAGCTACTGGCAAGAAGAAGAACACTATGTAAAACTTGAAATATGGTTTCTATTGAATAAACATCACCTTCACACCACAGTAAACTCCAAAAAATGTGAAGTCAAACCATGTTATTAAGATGAGGCCCAGATGGGCATGGTAGCACATTCCTGTAGACTGAGGCAGGAGGATCACTTGAGTCTAGGAGTTTGACAACAGCCTGAGTAATATAGCAAGACCATATCTCAAAAGAGACAAGTAATAAAATACATAAAATGAAGTTTTTAAAAAGATGAAGATTGTTTGTATATGTTAGGCCTCTTTTTATAAACTACAAGAGCTAGATTATAGTTTTTCACCAGTGAGGGAAGGAAACACTCACTATTCATACACAAATAGAATAGTTGAGATCATAGCAAGATGTGTTTCTATCACCTGCTGAACTCAAGAAGAGTTTCTTAAACTCTAAGCCCTGAATTCTATTCCTGTAAAATGACAATAATGACAGTATGCTCTTCTGAGGGCCAGTGTGGAAATGCAATGAGACACTCACAAATGATGCTTTGAAAAACATTTTCTATGAATCTTAGCATCATGGTGATCATGGCAGGCACAAGCAACTTCCAGAAACACCTTGCGTAAGTTTGTAAATCAATGACTCAGATATGGGAACACATACTACTAGAGAAACACTATTGTAAGTTATAAACATCATATTCCTATTCTGTTTTACTCATAAGGTGCCTAAAATCCTGTTTCTGGCCACTATGTCATTCATCATATTGTTCCTATGAGGAGATATGTTTCATTCCCAAATAGGTCTTCCAAGAGCTTATAAAAATTTCTAGATTTTTATTCCCGGTAATAAATATAAAAATGAAGCAATTACGCAGTCATGGTGGTGCACACCTATAATTTCAGCACTCTTGAAGCCTAGGGCAGGAGAACTACAAGTTCAAGTCCAGCCTGAGCAACATAGCAACTTAGTGAGAAATGTCTCAAAAGAAAAAAATGTTTTAAAGATCTAGAGAGGGCTAAGGACTTAGTTCAGTGGTTCTGCTGCCTGTCTCGCAAGCACAAGGTCCCGAGTTCAGTCTCCGGTACAAAAAAAAAAAATTCTGGGGATATAGCCCAGTGCAAAGGCCCTGGGTTCAATCCCCAGTACCACAAAATAATAATAATAATAATAATAATAATAATAATAATAAAGTACATAAACCCTTTTGAAAACTATCAAAATTTCCTTCTCAGGGATGTAGTTTTTCCAGGACCTCCACATCAGCAAAAATGGAAAGTGGGAGCCAGATATAGTGGAGGTTCATAAGCTCAAGTCCCACCTGAACAACTAAACAACTTAGTGAGACCCTGTCTCAACATATAAAAAATTTTAAAGGGCGGGGATATAGCTCAGTGTTGAGAGGCTGGGTCCAATTCCCAGTACCACAAAACAGGGGCAGTGAACAGTGGTACTCAAATTCAGATTTTTATTGTTTTCCAAAAAGTTTCAAATTCCAAGTTCTGTTACTACTTCTTGCTACTCCCCAATTGTCTAAAGAAAAATATTAACATAAGGATAGTACCAAAGGATCATTAAGGTTATCAAACTTGTTTTTTGAGACTAGGTCTCACCATGTGGCCCAGGTTGGTTCTGAATTCCTGGGCTCAAGAGGCGGTCTTCCTTCATTGTCCTGAGTATCTTGGGCCACAGCTGAACCTGGTTCTCAAGCATCTTGTTTTTATGTACCCTCCTGGTAAGCCTGGCTACCTTTACACATTTAATTTCATTAGTACCTAATGCCAAATATTAAAATTGTAAAAAAGAAGCAGGATGTATCATGTACAAGTACAAATTCCCTATGATGAGTGTTATCACTATGTACACCTAAAATGTACCAATAAAGGTTTTGCTATGAAAAAATAAAATAAAATTCTAAAAGATGACTAAGTAAGACTCCAATGATCATTACTGGCTCACCTGTTGGAAGTCTCCAGTGGAGACACTAATAATAAAAGTGGGGATAATCATGAAGCAGGCATTGTAGAAAAGCACTCCATACTTCCCTAGCTCCTGCAAAAACAAAACAAAACAAAAGCCACAGTCAACTTTAGAAATATAAAGCATGAGATTTTCTGGAACTATTAATACAAGTACATATCTAGCCAAAATTAGAATATGCATTCTGACCAACTCTGTATTGAAATGTTTTCAGCAAATTTCTCATGCAAAATGTTGCTGTTTAACACCAAAAACTATAGATGAAAAATAAAATAGATGAAAATGGAAGGCCTCCAAGGTTGACTGTCTCTACCATTCTATGAAGCTTTTCTAAAGCATGTTATTCAAAATGAGGAATCTGAAACAAAATAAAAGATTAAAAATGTTAACATAAACACCTTCTTTAAAACATCCATTTCCTCCATTGAAGAACAGCCTTGTTTTGTATTTACTTTCATTCAAGAGACCATACCTCATCTACACCAAAAGAGTGACATATTGTGGTTTTTCAAAGGCAACAACCTCGGGTTTGTAAAGCTACTGCCATTAAAAGAAACAAATGGCCGTAGAGTTGGTTTTTTTAAAGTTGCTTATGGAAATGAGCCTGGGGCTGGAGTGAGCTCTGTCCTCTACACAAAGAACCTAGGACTAAGAACCATATGCCAGGTTCATCCAAGGCATCCAGTAACAGCTGGGGTTGGGGCCACCACATTTGAGGGTAAGAAGAGCTGTTCTGGAGGACTACACACATTCGCCATTCCAGTCACTTCATCCCATAGACAGGAAACTGAGGTTTGGAAAAGTTAAAGTTCAAAGTTACAATGGCCAATGAGTAAAAAGAATTTGCTTTTCTAGATAGATGACAAAAAGACAGACAGATAGATTGATTCCCCCTGAGTGAACATGTAAAATAGTGACATCTTGGTCTGGGAATGTAGCTTGGTGCTACAGCATTTGCCTACTATGTAAAAGGGTATGGATTCCATCTCCAGCTCCACAACAAAATAAAATAAAATAGTGGCATCTTCATTTCCCTATCTAATTTTCTCCCAAAGTTTTTCAAGACTAGGAGTAACAAGGACTTACATGCACACGCACACATGAGATAATTAAAAAGAATTAGTAATTGGTAGATCATATTACATAAATTACACATCAACATTCTAATTCATTTTCACTTTCCGGTCATTGTGGAGCCAGCTGGCAAAGCTAAAAGCAAAAGCTATAGGAGGGAAGAACTGGTACCTTTGGGTCCATTTTCTGTTTGGTATAAACTCCATTTGCTGCTGTGAAGATGTCATTCAGAAATACAAAAATATAACCTTCCAGGTTAAAAGCAAGGTCTGAACTGTAGGAAGAACATAAAACAGGGATAATTATTTAGAAACTTACAACTTGGCCTCAAAGTTCTAATCAAATCCCGGTGAAGTGCTAGTAACACCTTTTCTATGGCATGTGTCTGCCTCTGTGGCAGTTGAATGCTTAATGCCTCTCTCTGCTCTGCCTCCAGACAAAAACAAACCCAGCCAATCGGGCAGCTTCAACTTAATTGTCCCTGAAGACCCAGGGACCTTCCCTGACTTCCTTTCACCGCAAAGCCCTTTGTTTATTGTAGTAAATGGGCCCAGCCTCAGTACAGCCAATGGGGACACAAGGAGGGACTGGGCAAGAAGGGCTGTGTGGAGAAGGAATACCTCCATCTGGTGCCCAAACAGTGCCCTGTCCATCACAAGACTAAGGCAGGCATCAGCAGTATGTGTCACTCTCCCAAGGTTCCTTTCTTCCCACGATCTGGAAACATCTTCTTGCCAGTATCCACTTTACACAGAATAACTTGACTATAAAAATGTTTAGAAAGATACAACACAGCGACAAGAGGGAGAATGATAACTGGTATATGATGTGGGCATTCACTTGCACTTCATCTTATCGACAGTACCAGAGCCACGTTGTACTTCATAAATTGCCAGGAAGAAAACTTTTCCTCTAACTTAGGTTCAGCACCTGAGAGTATACAAATTTATTTACTTGTTTACCATTCATTTATTGGTTCATTCATTCATTCATTTGTTGAGACACTATCTCACATGTTGCTCTGGCTGGCCTTGAACTCCTAGGCTCAAGTGCTCCTCCTGATTCAGCCTTTTAAGTAGCTGGGACTACAAGCACTGTGTCTGCTAATTTAACCAACAAAAGACAGACTCGGGGCCTCATGCAGGCCAGGCAAGCCCTCTATCACTGAGCTCTATCACCAGCCCAGGGAATACAAATCTTATTAATATTTTATGTGCAGAAGAGTTCACAGGACAGTAAAACTCAAGCAGTTAAGACAGGAGGACTTTAAAACATTTTTAGGAAGGAAAAAGGGTTTCAGCATCCAGGGACAAATAAATTGTGAGGAGTGACTAGGAGCCATATGAGGGGAAATAATGGAGGAGAAAGGTTATTTTAAAGTGTATTTATGTGGAATCATCTCTGGCTGACTCTGCCCAGTGGTAAGGGCTGCTCTCCTCTTCCTGGCACAGATGGTACAAGGGGTCACCTGCCCCAAAGGAAACCATATGCCCAGCTCCTAGGCAGAAAGGGGAAGGCAGCAAACCTTCCTGCATCTGTTGGTTCTCTAGTGTCTTTAGCTCAGAATGACCCTTATCCTAAAGTGGCATGTGTTTGGTGCCATATCCTGACTCTCCTTCAATATCAAAATAAGATTATCTCTAACCAAAGGGAACAAAGTAGACAAACATTGCATCATTGCAAATTAAATCATAATTTTGCTTGAGGCTTCCATTGGTACTACTATCTTTCCATACATTTATGAAAAGTGTACATTAAATGTAGGTGATCACACACCAGAATGCTCCAGCTCAATCACAAAAAGGGATTTTCAGCTAGGCATAAGGCATACGCCTATAATCCCAACATTTGGGAGGCTGAGACACAAGAGGAACACCATGAGTTCAAGACCAGCTGGATCTATATGATGAGTTCAAGGCCAGTTTGGATTTGCATAGAAAGACCCTATCTCAAAGTAAGGGTCTTCTACATCTCTTGCCTACTCACTTTTTTTTTTTTTTGTATGGGGGATCAAACTCAGGACCTTGCACTTGTGGGGCAGGAGGAAGCACCACTGAGCTAAATCCTCGGGCTACCTACTCATATTTGACAGGGCATCAAGAAGAGTTTGCTCCTCCCCAAGACAGTGAAGTATTGTGTTAAATAAACCATGCATGGCCTGAGGATGTCTCCATACATGAGTCCTTACATAATTAACTATACTCTGACTTAGTACCTGAACTAGCTCAAAGCCTGATTTAGGAATATACTTTCCTAACAACTAACTGAGTCTCAGCCAGCCACAGTCATGAGCTGCAGGCAGCTGCACAGCTGCCTGATGGTTCCTGTTCACATAAGGCTCATGCTGCACTGTGCTGCTCCACTGACTGCGCCTTGCTCCGGTTTTCTGTCCACAGACACAGCCCCACGCCAGCTCTGGGGGCTGCTAATCTGCCAGTCGTACCTCGGTGCAGCTACAATCTGTTAACATTGTCTACAGGGTTTTTCTTCCCTAAATTCTTTCATTGATACGTTTTAGGTATACAATACATTTACATTTGTCATTGGGTGCTTGTACTTGTACATGATGTATCTTGGTTCTTATTTTTTCCCCATTACTTGTGGTCCCGTCAGCCCCTCCACCCTTTCCTAATTACACAGACTTCATTTCCACTTTTTTTCTTTTCTTATAATTTTTCCTTTCTCTTCTTTCCTTTCCCCTTCCCCTCCCACCATCCCCTAACCCTTGGACTTTTCTTCCTATTTCAAATTATGAATTATTCATTTTAATCATTTTAACCCTTATTTATGCTTTCAATTTCCCCACTACAGAAACTATTTGGTATTTACACATGTGTGTCCTATTTATTTCACTTAAGAAAATGGCCTCAATATGCAT